AAATCAATTTGGTTTTCACGAGAGGCTCAACTGAGCCTCTGTGCCTACCTGATGAGCCCCAACAAGGGCGAAACCGGTCGTGGGCTGTCGAAGAGTTTTCAGCAACCTTGTGAGTAGTTTCCCTTATGAAAATGATGAACATATTTTGATAACGAGAATGATAAAGTATCGCAAAATTAAGAATTATTATCCTACTAATTGCTTCACCCACTTTTTAATTCTCTTGGACACCCAGGCGCACCGAAACAATGACTGAGCTTATCGATTCCGTCCCAAATAGGTGTTGGTCCTGTTGGTTAAACTGGACACAGTATTAAAATTCCAAGCTGCGATCCCCCAACACGGTGCAACTGAAAGGAGCGCGCTCCAAGGAATAGATTGCAATAATTTGGTCGCATTTCAAGAAGTAGACTGCCTCTCAAGGCCTATATTTCCAAGGAGCTAACGGCCTACTCGCTCAGGTTGAGGAACATGTTTGTTTATATTACATCTCATACTCAAAACACTAACTTTGGCTGTTCAACGAAGAGGACATCTAGGGTATCCATTCTGGAACCGTTGATTTGAACGCCAATAGTGTCGCGTTTGCTGCAGTTTAGTTAGTTCCACAGCACATTTTGAAGTGACTTTGACGTTGTATTTACTGGTGCTAGGCGTCAGTGTCCTGTGGTGTATAGATTTTGGGGTCACTTATGCTCATATAGAGGCCCGCCACGGTGCAATTCAGATTATTCTGTTTGATGACGGGTTATTCCACAGTCCTACGTTCGCAGGCAGATTTGAACTATGTCACAATCAGCACTGTGTGAGATTGCTGCAAAGATATAACCTTTTCCATCCCTGCGGCGCACATCAAATGTAATTCCAGCGGCATTAGGTGTCGCTGAAGAATTGATATCTGGTTCTAGAGATTGGGGACTTTAGACTGCGGGTGGGTTTTTGTCTTTTGAAGTATTCTCTGGCGGGTTGTGTAGAATTAATAGAGGGACTGAACCATTTATCAAGAATGGAAGGTGAGCAGCAAACCGCTCTAAAACTCACTACTATTGAAGCGATAGCGTACGTTTAATGCATTCTGCACCGCTTGGTTGCGAATCATTGTCTTATTTACCAAGATCACCTGCAAGTACGTTATATTTGCTGACAGACCGACTGCTGGCAGAGATCGTGACTTGTTTTCCTGTTGCCCATTTCCCATGGTCTAATCATCCCATCTTGAGTCAAGTGGACTAAAAAAAACTATTTATGCATCATCGTTCGTACCATTTGACATTCGCCTTAGATATGTGCGAAGAGCATCATAGAGGATGTGCCCTGAAAAGAGGCAGCGCTTCCAAGCAGCGTGAAGTGTTTCGGCCGATCCCGAAGCCGCGCGTTCTCCAAGAGCATTTTAGTGGGATCATGTCATAAACTGAGGTTGCGGATGCCTGCTTTGAAGAGTTGTTACACTCATCTGCATAGTAGATGGTTTCGAAGGGGTGGGACTCACCTGGAACCCAGCTGAATCTTTGGTTTGTGATGTTCTTCTTCAACAGAGTGTGCTGCACCAGGCCGCCTCATGTTTCACCTAGCACGATATTCGAGATATCGTAATACGTTGTATAGACGTAGATGCAGAAGAGTATATGAGTTAAAGTTTTACCTGGCTTGAGTTTGAGCTTTACATATGATGGACGAAAACTCTGGGACCTCACATACTTGATGAACCACAAAAGAGTGAAACCGTTCGTGGGCTGCGAGGAGTTTTCAGCAACCTTATGAGTAGTGTAATACGACTATTCTGTTATTCATCTAGACACAAACCGAACTAGACACCATATTTTTTCCGTCCTTTGAATAGCATGTTCCACTTTCTGGTCAGATGCGAGCAGCATGTCTGTTAGCCTTCCAAGCGTGTATGTATTTCAACTGGGATGTGGCTCAATTCCCATGTGCCTCGATTATTCAGCTTCCTGTCTCCGCGTTAATCTGCGCAGAACCAGATTGACGACAGCATTACCAGGCAAATATTTCGATGGATGTTTATTTTCCACCACCAGCTTTCCATGAAGATGACTCAGCAGGAAACCATCAGACACACGTAAATTAGTGATGAAAATTGAGCACATTTTCACGAAAAGTCGTTTATATCTTTGTAATGTACTACTCATAAGGTTGCTGAAAATCCGTCGACAGCCCACGACTGGTTTCGCCCTTTTTGGGGCTCATTAGGTAGGCGCAGTTCCCAGGTTCCCGTCAACGTTATGTCCTACTTGAAACCAAATTGTACGAAAAGTCACTTACTTTATTAGTTGAGTTCGTTTAGCATCTGATCACGGTCAGTTACTTTTTCCTAACTATGACGCTCCTCGAGCTTCATAGGAGAAATGTCAAGCAGCGAGGCTTCGCGAGAACCCGGTAAAAACTCCAGGCAATGGTCACGAGTTAGTCAGTTACGGGAGGGCAGTCCGCTATGCGTTCCGTTCTTAGTTGTTGGATACCTACAGTAAGATTCTATCATTTGATGTCCAGACTCGAATTGGACACACTTTATCTGATTGTCATCCGGCTACTGACCATCTTTCTACGGTGTCTTCCCACTGAGCTTCAGTTACAACAAAACGCCGAGTACAGTGTCTGTCCAGGGTACGTGAATGCTACAGCTCACTGGATCTCTCTAACACTCCAACTTCAAGGATTCCTTGTTACACAAGAATGCACACAAACATGTATGTCGAGTGAAAAACCGAATGATGGGGGCACAATAATGTTTCGACCAAACAGCTTCGATCATTTTCGGAAGTACAGCTAGGACGTTGTAAATTAACCGCCCTTGAAACTCATGTGACGTGGTTCTGTTTGGGAAACGTGTAATTCAAAACTGAGATCAATTGGAAAGTAGACGGCAACTCGGGTATCAGCAATCGCCTGAAGCACCTGGTAGCATTGCCTTGGCATACCCTTACTACCGCAATATAGCGTTGAATAGTACCCGTCACTGTCAGATACCTCCCCAAGTCCTTGAGCGAACGATCGGCTAAACTCTATGCGCCTACCGGTGATTGGCAAACTTTATTCTTTTCAGTGGGTAATAGTGTATCTAATGCGTGCACGTGCCAACACAAGTTGGCATGTCACATGCCTCTTCACTGTTTGTCTGGGTTTGTCAAAATGCCCATTCGACCTTGAAAACAAGCCATATGATCAGTCCATGCAAATGTTCGGCAACAATATCACCTCGGAAGCTGCAGACCGTGTATTTTTTGTTGATTTAAAGTACAAATCCGTCCATCTAGTCACGTCTGTTTGATGCCAGCACAAATAGATGATCGCAAATGTCAAACGGCAGATGTTTCTGAGTGCTAGTGCACGGCTTACGGCACGCCACGAATGCTGATATCCCATTTGCCAGTTTGCTGCCTGTAACATCTAAGATACGCCATGAAAAAATGCACGGAGTTCACCCAAACACACGCACACACGCACCTATTCCAGACCGCAGACATTTTCCACACCCCACGAGCGGATTCTGTTCAAATTTTCATACATTTAAACTGGTTTGTGCGCGTACGCTGAGGCTCTGAGCTAAAACAACCCGGAAAAAGGTCAGTCCGTTGAACCAGTTGGCTGCTGGCATCCTGATTTCGAGGTCTTCATCGACCGCCTAGCCCTGCGCTGTCCTTGTACACTTCTGCAAACCCTGGCGAACGACAGTTTTGAACACACTCAGATTGTACATCAGTCCCCCTCTCAAACCTTCTCTCGTACTCGGCCACTAATAGCAAATAAAAAGAAAACGTTATGATCTGGAAGTTCATAATTTTGAATCGCCCGTGATCTATTGCATGCAATAACTCATTTTATCGGCCACGATTTCATCAAACTGCCAGAAATGTGGCGCCATCGGTGACCATAAACCCATTGTACGAGAAGAGAGCCCTTGTGGGTAGCGAACTGCGTCAACTTCTGCACCATTCTGGCAATTTTGTGATAGTTTTGTCCCCTGGTCATTCATGAATTACACGAGTATCGAACATTTTTGTCTATCGCTTTCGAATAGAGCTCTTTTTCATCTTGAGAGTTAAGAAAAGGGATAAATTAAACGTCGGGGAGAAGGCATTCTTCCTTTCGGCATTCTATCCCTTGAAGCAGATCTACTAGGTGCTTCATTTCACTGTTGAGATCCGGTTTACTGTGCACGCATACTCTTCCTTAAATCTTTCATCAACGTGGCCTCGGAAATTTGACCTTGAGCGTTATGCCAACGATTGCTTCTCCAATTTTGATTTACTGGTCTGTCAAATTTGCCTATAAACTGATACACCCATGAAGATAAAGTTTACTTCATTGTCTCAGACCACAACAACTGTTGCATTTGTTACACGCTTTGCCCAAATCAGGTGATCCCGCCAGACCACACACTTTGCAGCAGACTGCACGCACACACTGTTGTGGAGTTCGTTTCGACGTATAGTTCTGGTCACTTGTGACACCAACTGGTGAAGTATGGATGGCAGGCAGGGAACCACTTTGACCAGTACTCAAAAGTAGAGAAAGAGACAATATCAGGTTCCGTTTGTTTGGAAATACGAAAATAGATGGTTAAGTGCGTTTTACTGGACGAACCGTCGCGAAAAGTACGTTAGGGCTTCAAGAAATACACTTGTAAGAACCGGACGACTATGGGACCTCACAGGACGATTGCGGCTATTAGATTATACGCAGTGGTCAATGGGAGCAGTCAGACGTGGGCAGCAGATGATGTACTGAGGACTGACAGGAACTGGTTCTACGGAAAAGCGGTTTAGTAAGTATCATTAATTAAGCAAACGTACAATCAATAATGACGAAATCAGCAGGAGCGGAAAATAGTCACTTACGCAGCAGGGATTTCTGGAAGCAAAAGCAAGTAAGCACTAAACGATGTGCAAACATGCATATAGGGGCAGTCTGACAGTGTGACTTGGCCGTATAGAAAGATAACGGCACAGGAGTCAGTACGTTCGGGATGTGAGGGACTGTCCTTTAGTCGGCGGCGCGACGCGGCAGCTCGTGTCACGCGACAAGTCAGATCATGCGGTTTTGTCCATTTAAAACAAATCTCGCCAAAGACTATCTAACAGGTGCGGTACATGGGTAATGCAAAATAAGGGGGCGCCTTGGGCGCCAGATTGGTGTAGTGGATGGCGCGTTCGCCTCTACAACACTCATTTGCAAATCAATTTAGTTTTCACGAGACAATCAACTGAATCTCTCGTTTATGATATGACGTTTGGGCTTGGGTATTTCGGAAGTCTTAGGTATCATGAAAGGTCCAGCAGTTCAGTGGCAGCGCTGACCAGGACATCTAGATAGTAAGGCTCTGTTCATATGCCTGCAGTACTGATTTAGGTTTGACAATACTCGCGGCGACGTTGTGTTATGTTCCATATGGGTCCGCTGACTAGCTGCGACCGTGCTAAGGAAATTAATTATCTGTTCAGAGTGCTGGACGAAGTCATTGCTAACTTGACGCACATGTTTGGTTGACCATTGTACATTTTTGTGACTGGTACCCCCGGTGGATTTTAATTAGATTTGATTTAACATTCAAGAACGAACTGACATAACCATCCAAATTGCGAAGTGATGAAAAACTGTGGTTTTTGCCGCCGAACACTGACCTATTCAGAACTCTGTTCGATCTTGCAGTGGGTTTTAGCTCATGTGGATGAAAATGGCTTGCTGTAAACGGCTGTATTCGTTCTTGGGGAAACTTCGGGAATTTCCTACATATTCGAATGAAATGCTAACAATCATATGTAACATAGTAAAGCTGCTATTCGACGAAGTAAGACTATGCAGTTATTGAAAGCTACAAGAGAGTTTGCACTTTTCATCGAGGCTTCAAAATACTTCAAAAACCTGTGGAAAAACTCGGATATACAATATCACCCCACTGTTATTCTTTTTGAACAAACTAACACTATTTTATCGAACAGAAATCCATTGTGCTTGAAAATTATTCAGTTCGGGGTCAGCTCAGTGGGAAATCCCGAATAAAGCAAACCCAGGTTTCGAATCAAGATTCCGCTTTGTGCCAGGTGAAGTGAATTCATGCAGGAAATTCAAAGCACAGTCTTGTTACTGCTTTTCAGCGCCGTACACTCCACGATTCTCTGGGAGAATTTTGAATCCTTCTAGTCCAGCTAACAGTTTGAACAGTTGTTGTGACTTGGTGGACGATCGTGCAACTCTGCATCCGTCCCTTGGCTTCCTGCTCCACCCACTATAGTATATCAAAAGGCACGGCAGCTCTACACAGCCCTTTATGGAGGCCAAGGAAAATTAGTACAACTGTATTTATAGGGTAGTCACAGGGTGTTCGGCAAGGTCGTGCCAGAATGTCCGTGAGGGGGCGAGAAGCGTCGGGTCAAAGGTGCTTGACTCGGATTGGCTGGCATTCTGACCAATCAGGACATGTCTTCGTTTGGCCCTTGTCCTGCACGTGACATATCCGTCCAAATGATGTGGTGTTCGGTTATTAGGGACGGCTGGCCTCCGTACAACAGTGTACTGTTCAGTTCTGGATTGCCAATTAGTAATAGAATTGATTGACTTTGAAGGTGATCCTTTCATCTTCTGACGTCACGTGGTAAGGCGCTGACTGGATCCTCAAATGACAGTTCCTCAGTCTGAGGATTACTCCTATTTTTCAGATAATAAACCGGTTTCGGAAACTTCAAGTATAAGGTTGACAGAAGGTACCATAAAGTGAACTGAATTTTTGCATTACATCAAGATGAAGTCAATGCATTCACTCATTATTTCCCCATTTACAGCATTTCACTGGATTCCATAGAGGATGACTACCAGCGGAACCGCGATACCTGGTCTGGCGTTCTACGACGCACTCGTGAACAATTCTTTGGTCGAGTTAAAACGATGTGTTGAGCTCCACAAAATCGATTTGAATGCGCGATTAAGCCACGTGAGTTATTGCTTATTCCGAACATTACATATTTGCACAAAATTAATAAAGCATGGTTCCAATCTATTTCCTATTGTTGCTAAGCGATGTGATCGGGCAAACGACAGCGGTAAACACGACCGAACTGTTCTGTCAAACAACTGTAGTGTTCAAAAACTCCCGGATTATTTTCTTTCATCCTATGTATTGGAAGATATGTGCCTAGCTCTGGTCCATTAGTGATACGTTTGTTATTGTGCTAATTAGCACCGACAAGTTAGTTTCCCTCATATAGACGTAATATACTACTCATGAGGTTGCTGAAAACGCTTCGACAGCCCTTCTTGGGGCTCATCAGGTTAGCGCACATCCAGTTGCTTGAACACATCATAAACGAGCGATTCGTCTGGGTTCCAGGTGGGTCTCCCGCAAAACCAAACTGGTTTGCGAATGAGTGTATTTCGCTAGTTGTCATCATTTTACTCGGTAAAGATGTCCCACCCTTGTAAAAGTTACGGGGGCACCGTCATAGATATGAGTGCATCACATCGATTCTTGAGATCCCAGTCAATTAAAATGCAAAAAGCTGTGATAAAGACGTTGATCATCGGAGTGAAGTGGATCTGCATTGGTGATAGTTCTAAACCTAGCAAAGTGCGTGGGATCGAAAGATGCCCCTCGATAATATTCTGACTAAAGCGGGGCAGTCATCAGCAGTCATACAACCGACTTCGTGCTGTCTTATTTGGTCTGATGCATCCAGGGAGAAAACAAAAAACACTGCTCACATTTAATGCCCATAAGCTAGAACTGATTGGTCCAGGGCCTAGGTATACAATAACTCATTCGAATTGTTCAGCTGTAGCACCCTTTTGGTGCCTTGCTGCCATGCCACCAGAGGGAGGCACGAGGGCTAGGATAGTGCTGAGTCACCCAAGCCCAGACGGCAGTCGAGAGGCGGAGGTCGGGTTCGAACCACGAACCTTCCGGTCAGTAAATTCGCGCTCTAACCACTGAGCAACCTCGACCTATACTTTCCTGTAGGTCTTCCGTGCTGAAAAGATAGCTATTCACTCTCGACGCAGCGGTGTACAACAAAGTGGCTGGAAAACAACCATTTCCTATTTGATTAGATTCACAATGTCGGGCACAAACACACACGTTAGTTTCAGTTCATTCTCCGTCTATGCAGCTAACCAATCAAACAACAGCTGGGATGGTTGACTCCACGGGCCAGCAAAGCAAGTTGACTGTCGTTACATTTATAAATAGGTTTTGATTGTCAGTTTACGATGTGAGCGCTGCTCCTGAAGCGGTGTTAAAATCCTTCAAATATTCACCTACAGGTAGCTTGTTTGGATGCCATCTCTTGGTCTTACTTTTCGGTTTGCCAACATATCCACAACCAACGGCTACGGAACACTAGTCAGCCCAGGGGAAGGATAATCTCACTGGACTGTGAAACATCCTTCTGAGAATTCCTCACTCGAAGAGCCAGTCAATACGTGATCACGTGATATGGTAACGTGATTGAAGGACGAGTGGTGCTATGTCCTATCCAAATGAGAGCTAGTCACACTGCTGACCAGCCACTCGTCGCCACTGACCGGATGGTGGCAGGTTCGACTCTCTGATGGGCTGTGCACTGCTGATAATGCCCAAAAAGGATGAAACAGCTGTACAGTGCTTCTAGGCTTTTCTGCATAGATTTACTTCATTGATACAATCGAATCCTTATTGATTAAAGGTAAACGCTTCCGCCGTAGATACTCGCACCATCAAATGAAATGTTATTCGCAACGCTTTGAATATATTGTTTCAGAGTTCTGTTAACATCGACACATCTAGCCGTGACCCCACATTAGTCTTCAACATTCTACATTTATTTGTCTTCCTTTTGTTTTACTAAACAAACTACGGAAACTCTTCACGTTTTCTGGTGGACAGGTGTCAGAAATGTTCCTTCTATAAAGTCTCGACATCTGTATGTAAAACCCAACAACTTAAAAACGGACATTTTTTCAGCTTCCTGGATGAACTGTCTTACCTTACCTTTTTTTTAGTGAAACTTATGAATATTTTTGGACAGTTGTTCGAGAAAGAAACTACACAGGTGTGCCTGAAGGTCTTCTTCAAAACATTCAATTAGGCACCATGACTTTCTGTTTTGTATTTGAGTTCTCAAACTGTAGCAGACAGTTGCCTAGGTTACAAGGCAGTCCCGTTGGTCTCTTTGCACGCCTGACACAAGATGAGACCAAAATTTGTGGAATAGGGCTTCCAAATGAAAGACGTATGGAGGTCTGGATGTCCTTTTTTGTTGTAGTGCAGCGAGCAACCTGGGTTAAAGTGCGGATTCAGTAGATACAAAGGATGTTGAACATTGCTAATTTGCTCGCGTGCGAGCTGTATTTTGTTAACTAACGGACTACGTCTCTACAAGGTTTGCTAGCCGGAATTAGGCAAACAGGCTAACTAAGATACCTCTCAATGCAAATTTAATGTCACACAAAGGCCTTTACAGTAGTCGCAGAATCCTAAGACGGTGGAAATAAACAGACAGCAATAAACTTTGGTCATAAAACATCTACAAGGCGTTAAGCTAAACCCTCACGACGTTTTCCCATACTGATGCATCCAGCTAAAGTTTGCGCCCAGTGTTACATTCCCATTCACAGGAGTAAAATTCATTTCCTGAGCTGATTCCCCGGCAGGTACCACTAGGATAGAAATCCGAATGCCCATTCTATGATGCGGTATTGTTTTTTTGTAATATGTAAACGTAATAAACGAGAGCAAGATTTTTCATTTAGCATACTACTCATAACGTCGCTGAAAGCTCCAACGGTTCGGTTTTAGCATTCTTTCAGCCTTCTGAGAGAGGTACAGGGAACAGCCTATGTATTTGATGAATGGTCTATACTGGGAACAATATGGAAATTGGGGGAAAGGGAATATGAAAGTCCCAGAAATGTGTTCGAGTCGGCCGTGGAAATCATCATCATTGTCAGCTGTAAGAACCACGTACTCGTCGTACAGTAGTTGTAGCTGCCGCAGTTTCGTTCACCGATGATTTGGGGAGAGGGGGAGGTAGCTGCGCATTGCAGGTGCATAAATCTAGCACTGTCCGTGGGCTGTCAAGTGAAGGGGGGTTGGAAGAGGAGCTATGCATTGAAGGCAACAGCTTAGATGCACGAGCGCCATTGAGGGCGCGACTGGGCCATGTCTGACAATGTCATCATCATCATCATCGACAGCATGACATCAGTGTTCAACACCGATGCTTCACTGCCGCATCTGACAATGTCTCTAACCGTTGATGTGGCCCGTATCCGAGTCCCCATCCACGAAGACGGCAATGACCAGCGCAGCTGAGTTTGCTGGTAATGGCTTTCACACTTCGCTGCCAAGTCATCGTTTGACCTTCCCTGGCTCATTTCCACCCTTCACGTGGTTGTGCGAAAAGAGCCCTTCGAGGAAGTCGGTCGACTGGCATACGCAGCACGTGGCCAAGCCAACGCAACCTGTGCAGTGTGACCAGTTCATCAATCGAGGGTGAGTTATTTCTCCCGAATACCATTCGACGTACTTCAGCATTGCTGATCCTGTGTTCCCACCAGATTCAGGCAATGCTCCCAAGACATCGATGGCCGTGGAAATAGATCGAAATGGATGTTAGGCGTGGACAGTAGGCAAATGGCTGTGATCTATGGGTGGTGTATAATCACTGCTAACATTCCACTATAGACACACAGATTAACTTCCAAACATTCAGCAATCTTCACAGCCTCTGCTTAGCACAGGAGTGAAGTCAATTCTGGGACAACGCTGAAAAGCTTCGCTTTAAGTTTCGACTCTACAAGACTTGGAATACTGGGAGAGTTTATCGTTCTGGCGTCAAAAGTTTCTTGTTGACGATGAATTCAATGATGCGTCGGTCTGGCGGCTTTATCAATAGAGCTGATCAGTCCCCGTAGAGGGAGGATGCGCCACGAATACGGACGGCTGAAGATCGAAATATGGGGCCGGTCAAGTCAGTCGGTTTGTTTGCGCATGATAGCGCAACCCATGTTTGATAGAGTGTATAGTCAGTTTCTTGGAGAGCCACGCTCACGTGGGTGAGCACAGCACATGACATTCCCATTTCGCTCGATAATCCGGATACATTTTGTCGCAACTATTCGAGAGTGCATACTGCAATATCTGAATGCAAATAGAAGAAACATAGGCAAATCAAGTTGTTATTCAAAAAATTTAAGGTTGGTTTTTCACTGTTATTGCCAGCACTTCCTGACAAGTAACATTTATCGAACGCTGCTGCATTCCTACTCGACTTGTGCCTCCGTGCACATGACGAACGGTTTCCACGCTTTTAACCTTGAGCTGTCAGACAGAGACGTAACTAACAGATCGACCCAGAGAGGGACAGCCAGGCGCCGTTGTCCATCTTTGTTATTTCTGGCTGGGTGGCTGTGCACCAACACGTTCGTAAACTGATAAACATGCTGGATATATCGGACAATGAATGGTGCATTTTGACCAAGGGTGTTGGAATACCGCTTCACATATACAGAGAAGACAAACCTGGCTTCGCTATAGGTTCATGACATTTGTTAGGTGTTGCTTTACCAGTTCTCTGACATTATCAACCTCCAATGGTAAATAGATTAATAAGTTGACCTTAAGCGTGGGGTCTTGTGGTCTTTTTTTCGAACAGAGAATACTAAGCTTCTTCAGTGTTCGTAGGTAACCGACAGGGTAAAAAAGCTGGTCCGTGTAGATTCGTTTAGCGTCTTGTTGTAAGTCAGCAGAACAGATTCATCGTCTCAAAGTGTTTCCTAACTAGGCCACGCTTATAGCTGATTTGCACAGAACTTTTGCTTTCATAATGGATAAGACTGTGTACTGATCCATCATCTAGACGATATAATCGGATACCCATGAGAACGATACTGTTGTTACTTTTGTGTTCGAAGCTGGTCTTGGCAGAGTTAGATGTATGCGGCCCCGGGATTTTGCCCCATATAACTTGCAGGCCACTGTAGCTTCCGACTAAGTTGCGACTAAAACGCATAAACAGAGTCCCATAATCGTTTTTTGTGCCTCGAAATTGTAAAATGAGGAAGTCATCATGGGAGGATCCTCGGTCTCATCTGGTTGCGACATTCTTACTGTTGTATCGTGGCTGGCCGTCTGGTGGTTACGCCTGCACTGAGCCTGCCGGACTACGCAATAAGAAGATGGAGAACTCCGGACACCGCTGTATTGTCAGGACAAAACATACTGAGCTTCTGCGTGAATAAATACGATGACTAAATGGCCAAATATGGTCGTTCACTTGTTCGTTCCGTACAGCCAATGGCGGTGTTCCGGTAGCGAACACTTTCAGCCCCACTCCGCTGGTCTCATTTCGCTAAGCCGTATTTGGTTAGCTCCGCCAACGCATCTTCTTTCCGGACGTGTCGTACCGATGATGACCTTGGGAATGCGTCACTCTCTGCACATGTACGGTTTCCATGTCTGGGCGCGTCCTGACAAAAACAAATGACTGATTTAATTCATCATTGCTACCCACAGAAGACTTAATGCGTTCTAGCTGGCACAAAATCGGATTACAGCCATGTCGCGACTTGAGTAGAAAAGTATATATTTCTAGCTTATTGACGACAGCCTTACCTCAAGTCAATCTTCCCGTTTATTTCACTGAAGGCTAGAAACTGTCGAAAGAGGTCAAGAAGGTAGGGAAAAGTCGCTTTGGTTACCTTGCATTTCAGATGACGATATGATTGATAAAGAGCTTTTCGGTGTAAACACACCAAGGCCTTGTCCGACCATCAAACTGCTCTAGCTGGAGAATTCGTCCAATCAGTGCCAACCTATGCTAAAAAGCTGAAAAGCGCTGTAGAACTGTTTCGTCCGTATTGTGACGAGTGAAACCTTCGTTTGAGAAGTCGTCACTTGGGGAGCCACTCAACGCGTGTGACCACGTGATGTTCATCACGTGATCGAAGGATGAGCGGCGCTATATCCTGTCTAATTGCGAGTTAATCACACTGCTGATCAGCCGCCCATGGCCAAAGGGTTAAGTGTTCGAACTACTAGCCAGGTCGCGGGTTTCGTGAGATGCGCACTGCTGATGATTTCCAATAAGGATGAAACAGCTGTACAGTGCTTCTCGGCTTTTCAGCATAGACTGGCTTCACTTACAAGACGAAATCTCCACAGAACTCCCTTCATCTGAAGACTGCATGGTCCCAATCGGTTGGTATGGTTACCGGATGTCACTAACAATAGAATTAGTATCGTTGTAATACAGGTAGAAACTTTACAACCATACCGGAGAACATTTTGAACTGTAATGACAATATATTATTGTCATCCTTCTAATGAAAACCAGACAAATACTTTTTGGTGAATTATTGCCTTGCGTAACGCTAAATTCAAAGAATCGCTGACCAGTAATCATCGCACCGAGTTATTCTTAAATTCATCCTCCTTTCAGGTACGGAAACGAAACCACACCGATTTGTGTCCTGTACATTTGGTCGCCTACAAGGGATACTTTGCCATGTTGCACTATCTCATTCAAAACGGAATCAATGTACACCAGCCGACCTTGACCCTTCAACGTCGAGCGGTGCACTTTGCTGCGTTGCGTCATCAAGTCTCATGTTTGCAGATGTTGGTGAGTTTCTCTCTAGAAAGAAGAATAATTCTACAGGAACACTTGCATCTTTCATTTCACATCCTTCTGCTTAGTATTTTGCCACCGATTGAACTACCCGATTCCTTCAGTAAAAGATGTAACGTGGGATTTCAACGTTTACTGTTCAAGGAATGCGTAAACATGCTCAAATTTGGCTGTCTAGCAGCGTGGTTAACTTAAGCGTTGTCCCTGGTCGAGGCGCTGTAGTGCCTTTTGAGAATACGTCACTGAATGGTGGTTCATTTGGATGTCCTTAGTTGCAATCATGATCGGATCTATATCCTGGATCGATACAGCGCCAGAAATGAAACATCCGTTTCCAGGATGGATAGAACCCAGATTGATCAGAACAAAACGTAGGGATGATAAGTCTGTAAAAGACCGCGGAAATGAGCAACGAAAACAGTATGGTTGGGAAACAAAATCTCAAAGCTTTTCGCTTTCGACCTTCCACAACGCATGCAGGCTTTTCAGACCAACCATGGGCTTGGTAGGCGTTGGTTATAGATGGACGCTTAGTTCTTAGGAAAAACTTCCCCCGGTGCTCAGTGATCAGAAGGTCTGCACGCCTGCGGTCTCCTCGAAAACGCTCCAAATATCTCCTCTAGAGTAGAGCCTGTAAACAAGCTAAACGTTCGGAACAGATCACGATCTTTTCGTCACCTTCTGTGGTAAGTGCGCGCTGTGGCTCATCACAAGCTTTTGGTCGGGGGTACTTTCATGCCCGGAGATACATGGGAGCGACTACTGTAGTTGGACAGTCAGAAATCGGTCTTAGTTGATAACTACCGATTTATACCGACTGGTTGTCCTTACGACTGATGCAACTTTAATATTCCGTTAATCCGAAAGTAGAAAAGCACCACTGTACCAGCCACTCAGACCAGTTTCACTCATCTGGTCATCTCATGACAACAATGCGAAAATCAATAACCTAACTTTGAAATTCGTCCAACTACGGTGCTGTTGCAGCTGACCAATGCATCGCATTTAGTATGCCGAGAAACCGTTAATGATGTGGTCCGCGAAAAGAGAAATCACGTGTTTCGCACATGTATTATTTATTGATAAAGGGCAACAGACCTATTCGATTAATATCAGTTTGCGGAAAGTCGATATTGTGACCGTGAATAACGCTCACGTTTCCTAATGCACTACTCATGAGGTTGTCTGGAAACAACACAAGCGAGAGATTCAGCTGGGTTCCAGATGAGTCTCTGGCAAAATCAAATTTGTTTTCGAATGGGTGTATTTCGCTTACGTTTGCTATACATTACGAGAGAGGGGTACTTGATGCCAGCAGTGGTTTAGAATAATCGCGCCAAAGCTATGGAACAATTTTTCAAGCAGGATCGATCCGAAAGTCAATTCTACAGACCCCACAACTTTTCACAAGTCACAGTCACCATCACCAAAAGTTGTTTGCTTCATAACACAATCGCCGTGTACTCAAATTTCTGCTAAGAATTAGGAATATTCGTCTGCCTCATCAATGGTACATTGGAAATTTTGACACAACTACAGTAATGTCACCAACCACTGTGTTGGTTTGCCTACGGCCATGGTGTCGTGTTTCGCTTTAGTCGGATTAATTATGCGTTGGAAGTCAGACCAGTTTTTGAGTGGAAAAACTCCAAAAATAGGCGAGTCATTTCAGGGCTTAGTTCACGTGATATGAGCAAGTGTGCTTCGTGGAATTAGTTAGTTAGTTAATTAGTTAGAAAAACTGTCCTACTTAGTATGTCCAAGTAATATTGTGATGCGGCGTTGTGCCAAAATATTGTCCTCCGAACCTATCGATCTTTTAGTATGTACTTTATTTGATGCGTAACGCAGCGAGGAATGACTCTCCGCTTATTATCAACCCGAATGGTTTGTATTAGACCGGGTAAGCCAAGACTTTTAACAACTCGTCTCGGAAATTTCACATCTACGTCTTTCCGGACTACACCGAAGCTACATTTGGTAATGATATAATCGAGCATCCAATACCATGCAGTACGGCTTCTAGTGAAGAAACAATAAAATTCTCGTCTACATTCAGTTATTGCTTGCAAGTTGACTTGAATTGTCCCGAAGCCACACTCAAAGATGGCTCAGATCACCTTGCCTTGCGGAGTAGTATTCATACAGAGACCTCTCCCGGCAAAACCCTTTGTGTTTTTCTTCAGCGAACAGATCAACAGCCACCTGATCAATTACCATATTATATATATATATATATTATTAGATATATCTTTATTATTATATAAGTGTTTCTAGTGAGTACCGTTCACCTAACTCGAAATCGACTTCACCTGGGGTCGAATGCCAATAAAAGACGGTCATACTGACAGTCCCATGAAAGTGGATTCACTTCCCTTAGAATGAAACAGCATACATTATCTGCTTCCACCCTTGAGTCACACAAATTCCGATCGTGACCAAAGCTTGTTGAATGAACGGATAGTATGGGTTATCACCCAACTTAGAACACGACGCGCAAGCAAACGCAGAAACGCGTGCTCATTTAGTGATCAAGCCGTTGTCCGATGTGAGCGCGTCGTCAAAATTCCTAGTGTTAACCTCGTTTACACCACACATATAAAAGTACCTGACTGTATCGATACCTGGGTTTCACTGGCAAACTGATCCAAGTAACGCTTTACATGAAGGGTTATGGTAAGTGAACCGGCCTATCGAAATTCCTCACTTTCAAAAAAAGGTCAAACAAACAGTTATTCTTATATGAAGGCAGTTTGGTGTTACAGGTAGTCTGGGATGACTGGATGTGAGTCAAAAAGTTCGGCAGATTTTTTCGACTGCCCAAACAATCGATTCCCTTTGGGACGAAGGCTTTATAAAGAATACGTAATAAGAGTACTAATAATAGTGGTTCAGCTGTAACACCCTCTCGGTGCCCAGCTGCCACGCCACATGAAGAAATCACGAGGGCTGAGGGACTGTCAGGTCGCCCGAGCGTAGACATGGGGTTGGGTTCGAACCACAGGATTCTCCGTTTTTATTCATAGTCACACCACTCTCGTTTGAACGGTCGTGCTCCTGTTCTGGCGTAATTAGTCCGGTGAGTCCGTACCAAGGGGAAGCACTGGGCTCAAGTTTCACTCTTATTAGAGCTCATCAGCAGTGCATATCTAATGGCCGTGCCCGGATCGGAACCCTGGACATCTGACATGCGAGGCGAGCGTGTAACCATTACTCCACCGACGCACGTTGGACGCATCTGAATTATCACGTCTGAACAGGCGAACGTGTTCACACTTGAGCGATGCGATTGGTGTGCCCGACTCATCGAACGACGACCCAGTAACTGTCCTGGTTGTGACGATCGATTGACCCGTCAATCAGGACTTCCCAGTCAGGTAGCGTGACAATGGGCGACGTCCTGGTTGCAGTTTTTGGGTTTTGCGGGATAGGTATTTTTTTGTTCATAGCCCCGCCACTCTCGTTTGAACGGTCGTTCTTCTGTTCTGACTTAAGGATTCAGGTGAGTCCACACCAAAGGGAAGCACTGGACTCGAGTTTCGTTGTTATTAGAGCTCATCAGCCGTGCATATCCAGCGGCCGCACCTTAACCACTGAGCTTCCTCGAGCTCATCACCACAAAATGAATAAAATATTGATATGATATCTGTCCGCCATAAAGTTTTGTTACTTTGGTATAATAGGATCACTTACTGAATTACGCTATTTTCCTTTATTTTTACGATTATGCTCAAAGTATTGAATCAGGGAGAAGCAAAAACGTCACTTTGATAAAAAAAACTGGTGAAAAGGTAACTAAAATGAGCTAACAGTATTTCTTAGTACCGCTACTCTGTCCTGAAACTCTGCCACGGTTTAGTGTTCGTGTGTATCGAAAAACGATTGTAATGGACACCAAAAGAATTTACATTTCCAACACTTTATTGCATTGTCTTTGATTAAATTAACTGGAGTTGATTCAATCTCGAAACCAACCGGTTTGGCCAATCACATTAGTGTGTGACACGGCAAGACAATCGCTCCTCTAGTTCACGTGACAGACCAACTATATGAAGGCAGTTTGGTGTTACAGGTAGTCTGGGATGACTGGATGTGAGTCAAAAAGTTCGGCAGATTTTTTCGACTGCCCAAACAATCGATTCCCTTTGGGACGAAGGCTTTATAAAGAATACGTAATAAGAGTACTAATAATAGTGGTTCAGCTGTAACACCCTCTCGGTGCCCAGCTGCCACGCCACATGAAGAAATCACGAGGGCTGAGGGACTGTCAGGTCGCCCGAGCGTAGACATGGGGTTGGGTTCGAACCACAGGATTCTCCGTTTTTATTCATAGTCACACCACTCTCGTTTGAACGGTCGTGCTCCTGTTCTGGCGTAATTATTCCGGTGAGTCCGTACCAAGGGGAAGCACTGGGCTCAAGTTTCACTCTTATTAGAGCTCATCAGCAGTGCATATCTAATGGCCGTGCCCGGATCGGAACCCTGGACATCTGACATGCGAGGCGAGCGTGTAACCATTACTCCACCGACGCACGTTGGACGCATCTGAATTATCACGTCTGAACAGGCGAACGTGTTCACACTTGAGCGATGCGATTGGTGTGCCCGACTCATCGAACGACGACCCAGTAACTGTCCTGGTTGTGACGATCGATTGACCCGTCAATCAGGACTTCCCAGTCAGGTAGCGTGACAATGGGCGACGTCCTGGTTGCAGTTTTTGGGTTTTGCGGGATAGGTATTTTTTTGTTCATAGCCCCGCCACTCTCGTTTGAACGGTCGTTCTTCTGTTCTGACTTAAGCATTCAGGTGAGTCCACACCAAAGGGAAGCACTGGACTCGAGTTTCGTTGTTATTAGAGCTCATCAGCCGTGCATATCCAGCGGCCGCACCTTAACCACTGAGCTTCCTCGAGCTCATCACCACAAAATGAATAAAATATTGATATGATATCTGTCCGCCATAAAGTTTTGTTACTTTGGTATAATAGGATCACTTACTGAATTACGCTATTTTCCTTTATTTTTACGATTATGCTCAAAGTATTGAATCAGGGAGAAGCAAAAACGTCACTTTGATAAAAAAAATCTGGTGAAAAGGTAACTAAAATGAGTTAACAGTATTTCTTAGTACCGCTACTCTGTCCTGAAACTCTGCCACGGTTTAGTGTTCGTGTGTATCGAAAAACGATTGTAATGGACACCAAAAGAATTTACATTTCCAACACTTTATTGCATTGTCTTTGATTAAATTAACTGGAGTTGATTCAATCTCGAAACCAACCGGTTTGGCCAATCACATTAGTGTGTGACACGGCAAGACAATCGCTCCTCTAGTTCACGTGACAGACCAACTCCACATCAGTTGTTGGACTGACTGATACACTGCAGTGTGATCGATATTTTCGCTCAATATAAAAAAGGAAGATAAATTAGAGCCCCCCACCCCCCACAGGTTCAAATGAGAGTACTTGAGACTGAATAGTACGGGTTCTTGCATTTGTTATACTCATACATGATAGTACCCGTCTGACCAAGCAGTAAGTTGTGTTATTTCCCTTACGTCCGCTCTCTAGAAATAACCAATCTTTTGTCATTCAGCCAGTGTACAAGCTCACTTGTCTCTCCTGTCGGTACTTTTGAAAAGAACAAAATTTTGGGGATCATTCTACGCTAAAACGCGCGTCATACAATACTACTCATATGAAGTTGTCTAATATAACCTACAAGTCCCAAATTTTGGAAAAAAGAGGGGAGGCTGCAGTGGTAACAGGGGCCATTCCTTGCTACTCCAGGTCCGTATTCCGAACTGAACGAAAACGATAATGACAGACCATATCAAATAACGCTTCTAGACAAAACGGTACATTGCCATCCGTGTCTGCCTACCCCAACGCGGTCTGTAGGAACGGTAGTAGCGTGCAACATGGCAGTGCAGCTCAAGAATTTCGGCGTCCTCGCACGAGGTCGCATTGAATGACAACAAAACTACCAAGACGGGCAGTTTTACGAGGGAAGTGCACCTTGGTTCCCACTTATGCTTTTTTGTTTCACTGATTTTATCCCAGCTCTCCCTTCGCAACAGACCTTCCTTTTTATACGTCTGTTATTCTACTCTCAGTTGAATGCCGGTGCTCAACTGGACGCTCGGGATACATTTGGTAACACGCCACTGCATTACGCCGCGGAAGATGGTGACGGAGCTCTACTCAGCCTACTACTCAACAATGGAGCAAGTGTGGATTCACAGGTAAGACTGGTTGAATGAAACGTTGATATTTCTTTCTCAAAGAGACTTAGCTTCACACGTTCATAGCCAGAATTTTTGTAGTCAGTGGCGCTTGCCTCAGTTACCGAAATAATTATGCGACAGCAATAGGTTGCCTTCGATTGATGTGTTAAGGGGCGTTTAAATGAATTCTCCGGGAGCAGAACGATAGTTCATGTGAATGAAGAGTTAGGAACACAAATTGCGCACACAGTAGCCCACTCAGTGAACCTACTAGCGAAGAAACATCAGTCTATCAATCAGGATTATTTTATTCCCTCGACGTGCCATTTGCATTGGGACTTACGTCTTCCAAACGTTCCACGGGCCACAAAACAGCATCGTAAAATAAACCTCCTTGGACTTTGATTTCACTGAGCAGAAACATGAGAAAGTTTCTGTTTAAGAAGTGGGAAAGAACATTTAACCGTCGGTAGGTAGATACTTTGGTTGATTCCCTCTAGTGATTAGCAGTGACTGGACGAAATTGACCGACTTTGGGTGAAACCTGAACGTAAACAGAGTCTTCGATAGACACCCGAATTCCTGCACTGAGCCTGCCGGACTACGCGAAAAGAAGGCAGGGGACTCGGGACACGGCTCTATCGTCAGGACAAAACATACTGAGCTTCTGCGTGAATATATACGATGACTAAATGGCCAAATATGGTCGTTCACTTGTTCGTTCCGTACAGCCAATGGCGGTGTTCCGGTAGCGAACACTTTCGGCCTCACTCCACTGGTCTTACGTTGCCAAGCCGTGTTTGGTGCGCTCCGCACCTGCTTTCCGGACGTGTCGCACCGATGGTGACCTTGGGGATGCGTCACTCTCTGCACATGTACTTTTTCCATGTCTGGGCTCGTCATGACAGTTACTGTGCCTCACTTTGTTGGTGTGATAGAATGTTCTCAGGATAGATACAAGCACTCGTCATCACTTACCAAAAACTTTTCAAACTTGATGAGTTTATGATACCTTCTAATCTAATGTGTGTGTGGCCCAGCGGCCCACTTCGGTGCTGAAGTTTGCGGAGGGTTGTGAAATAACAACGCATTTTCAAGCCACATGAGGGAAGAATAGTAACACAAATGTCTGAAATATGGAGTTCCCATGGAAAAGGCTGGTTGTTCCTCGAAGTATGTGTCTTTCACAGACCGTTTTTACCAGGTACATGTTACATACCTCCATATCGCACACTTTCCCTTCGTTTCCGACCTTCAGGATATAACAAACAAAACGCCGTTAATGAAGGCCGCACGAAGTGGAAAACTCTGGGCCGTGCGACGATTGATTGCTTTTGGGGCGAATGTCAATGTAAAGGATCGTAACGACGAGACCGCTTTGCATTTTGCCTGCAGGCAAGGTTCCACGGAAATCACAAGCATGCTGATCAAGGTTCGTTTGTCCCCTTTACCTAGCATATTAACGGTGAAACTGTTCGTCCGAGAGATGCCCATTGGGGTACACGTCATTTCTATCGCTGCTTACATGATACCTAATTGAATGTGTATGTTTTCAAAGAAATCAAGATCTAGTCATCTCGAATGTCTTATCCAAAATGGTGGGTAGCCTTGCGGACCGTCCCTGTGGAGAATATTGGCCGGTGTTCGACAGTCTGAAAACATGATATCAAGAGAGCCAATAACTAGGGTTATCTGCTTGAAGAGGAGTGGTACAGGTACTCTATTTTTTTCAGCTAACCAAAGTAGTTCTTTGCCGACTCTTTTGCTTTAAACATGGATAAATTTGAGGTTATTCGTAAAGATTAGGCAGGATAGGATAAAACATTGTTCAGTTATTGTTCCATCACATAATTCTGTTCTCGAGTCCAGCGATATCTTCCAGTACGGATTGGGTCCAACCTGGTGGCTAACTTGTTGTTGACAGTTGTTCCTGCTCAGCTGACAGAGTCGTCTCAGGGGAGTAACCTGAAACATTGAGCTGAAATTTCGGTGTTTGAGGCCACCGCAGGTCAAGTGGGTAGGCGGAATAGTGAATATGCCAGATAAGTGAAGGCCCCCCCTCTGGGACGACTGACAGAAAGTCACTGACCCAGGGAGAATAGGGTGCTGATGAACGTTCAAGTGATAAATACTTATGTCTGCTCCAGACGTGTCTACATTCTGAAGTCATTGGAACCATACTTAGAAATTTCTCCACTGGTTTGTCAGGCCATCCAGTCACATTACTCATATATGAACACGTTTGCCAGTATACAAGTGTAAAGTCAGATGTCTGTGGCTTGCGCTGGTGCGGTAGAGGTAACATGCTCGCCCCCCATGTCGGATGTCCGAAGCTCAAACCGCGGCACGGCCAAGGATGTCCACTGCCGATGAACTCCAACGAGAATAAAACTCGAGTCCAGTGCTTACCCTTCACCAGAACGATTGCGCCGTGATAGGATGAGTACCGTTCGAAGTAGAAGGTGATCTTGAACTCTACAAGTCCTATATTCCTACAACTAATTCTACAATTCGCCAAAAATGGACGTCCTGCTCAGTTAGACAGGAAGCACTGAGCTGGCAGGGACAGACCGGAACAAATGCGAGTACGCTAGAGAGTTGCTCAAAATGCAGGTTTGGTGCCCTTGGAAGAACCAGGGTTTCATGAAAATTTCGCGGAACGCCTGTTTGTCTTTCTGACCACAATTCGAACAGTAAAAAGTTTCAAACGTATCGTTAAGCTTGTATTTAACTGCCACATAACTCAACTATTGGGGTGCAGTCTACTCAAAACAATCTACGTTTAAATTTACACCTGAATTTGCGATCGCTTCTGCCTAATTCTGAGGAATTAGTCATTAGCACAGCTCCCCTAATGGGCCCTGTAGGCTACGATAACCGAAAGACTGTTTTTGAAGATGAAATTTGTTCAACTTGGCAACTATCTGGAAAACCACATCAGTGAGAATGGTTAAAAAGCGGTATGGAGTTATTGCAGAATGTATATTTTGCGTGTGATGAGTTTCCTCGTCGAAAAAAGGCCAAACCTATCCCATTTGAAAAATATTATCTCTATATGATGTCCAGTAAAAACTTCACCACAAAAACGTCCGTTAGAGATGGCTTCTTAGAACAGTTATTTGTAAAATCTCTATCGGGTTTGCCGGCGTCTACCCCAAACCCCATGGGGATGCGAAGCCTAGAATTTAGCTCACATGCGCGGCGTTTGCCCCGAGGTTCACACCTGAAAGTACCGCACCTAAAGCCGAATCGGTGATTCCGGGCAGTTTGCAGGAGAAAATGGAAACAATTTCCTGCTTGTCCGGCGGCCATTAGACCCTTTTTAACCGTTTTGGTACATTGAAATCTTAGTTACTCCAGCTTAATGATTTTTCTTTGTTCCTCAAGGCCGGAGCTCGTTTGAATGCCCAAAATCAAATAGGTCTCACGCCACTTATGGAAGCGGTATCCTACAATCAAAGGGAAGCAGTCAGTCTAATGGTCAAACAGCGTGGTGTTGACCTCTACAAGCGCGACTTTTGCACTGGCGATACGGCATTGCATATCGCGGTAAAGAAGAATTACATACATATGGTGGAAATTTTATTACAAGCAGGTAAGATACATGAAAAAAAACATTTATTGTTTAAAAAATCTGTCCACCTGGTCATACTCATTCTCATTACACTGATTACCTGTTTCCAAAACGAAAGAGTCAGACGTCCAGGAGGTGTGAATCACCACATAATTTCGGATGCGTCTGGCCAGCGGCATATTTTTACCTACTTTCCAATTCACCAGTAGTATCGATTTTCGATAAAAACTGTGAAGCCAAGCCCGGTCCGCTATACAGATGGACCCCACAGAGCACCCTGCTTACAATGAAAAACAATAAAGAAAATCGGATGCGGACAAAAACCACTCCCATCCAGATTCATTGGCATTAGTACCACAAATGCGATGGGGTCGTAAAGATGAATTTGTCGTTTTAGTCGTATCAATCGGTTCCAACCTTTTCCAATGGGTTGACTTTATCGTGTTGACTATTTCCGGCACTGACGTTAACATATTTCCCGCTGTTTCTCCGGACGGAGCACGTATTGATCTTTCATCGCAACGCCTGCTTACCCTGGTGATAGCATATGGGTTACATAGTCGGATTACTCGGCTTTTGAATTCTCTCCCAAAATCCTTTCTACAGAGTTTGCTTCGTTGCTGAGGGCTCCCGTTAACTATGAGGAAGCTTGATTCCAGATCAAGGCACTTGTAGAACAGTACTATCCCCATGTGAAAGGTCAGAATATGTATACCTGGAAGAAGGGCATGCTTATGACGACTTTAACTGCTTTATGGGATCTAGAGGCCATGTTCACCACCTCTGAACACGCCTCACTTACGGTGCTGTGGTCTGTGTTCAAGAGAAACCATTTTCTGAGAAGCACGTTAACGACAAGAGTAGTCATTTTCCTTCCTGGTATACTAAAAACTTTTGTGTAAGCTCCTGATAACATGGGAGCAAAACACCGGTATGGTGACTGAATGACCCGATATCGTCCATTGAACGAAGTAGGACTTACGGATCGAAATCGGGTCAAGACCCGATAAACGATCAGCAGCTTACGGTTTAGTGCACAATTCGAATTGTGTGCACACCTGTTGTTCCAATAGCCAGGGCGGTTCCGCTGATGTTTTTGAAACGAAAAACTGTAAAGCCTTCTGATTCAGATTAGCAGGGGACAAAATTCTAAATGTTAATTCACAGAAGCAATACTCTCATATGTATCTTGTTTACAAAAACTGAATATCCATCTTCTCCGTGAACGGGTCTTCCTGAACTTTCCTGGATATTCATTGACTGTTACCCAAATGCGAGCAAATGTGACTCCGTAAGAGATCCGTAAGAGATCTCACTTTTCAAGAGACGCGAAGCGGATTTACGAAAAAACATACTACTCGCATGCCCCATCAGTATAGAGCAAGCTACGAGCATTCAGTCTTACTGGTGTAGCTAGCCACATTTCGAATTGATATTACCGAAAGGCGAAAGCGTGGTTTACGGTAGTTCCTGACATAGGCGCCACTGAAAAGCTACATTTTGACAGGCTTGTCTGATTTTGAGTTCGACCTGGCCTTAACCCTCGGGGAAGCAATACACCCATAAAGATGCAACCGCCAGTCGTTTATTCCCCAAATACAGTGCCCTTGGATCAGATGAACTGATGAACGTTGCCAAAAACCACCGTCGGATAGAGCTCATTGTATCAAGATCGATCAGAAACACCAGGCACTCTTTGCGCTTCTCCGCTTTCCTTACTGCAAAGCATGACCGCCGATAGTTTGCACTTGGCTAACTTGAGCGTAACTCATTCATACCAACTCGCGATCGTTTAGCCCTCACAATTGCATACTTACAAAAATTTAAAGGTATAGGTTTCTCTCCAGCGATGCTCCGCTTTAGAGACAAAACTTAGTTCTGTCAGAAAACTTTTGCAACGAGAAATCTTGGTGAATGTGATAAACCAAACCGCCCTAACAAGTGACGTTTTTGAACGTGCTATCACCGGATCGCTCGACTAATGTTCACAGTAAGAAAGCAATCCAAAGACAACCTTACATTGTTCTGGTAGTACAAAGATGGCCGGAAATTCTCAGCGGGGATTTTCATCCTGTAAGTGAAACCAATTTGTTCTGGGAAACCCAAAAGACACTGTCCATCAGTTTCATCCTTATTGGAAATCATCGGTCGTGTGTATGTTACGAATCCCCAGACAGGTTCAACCTCGCAACTAGCTAGCCGTTGGGAACTAAGCCGTTCAGCCACGACAAGCTGATCAGCAATGTAATGGAACCACACCAGCAACCACGTGACCATCTGATGCGAATGTAAAAGGCCTGATGGCGTTAAATTCTGTCTAAGTGCGACTCATGAACAATGCTAATCAGTTGCTCGTGGCTGAGAAGTGCGGTTCTCACCAGCTAGAAAGGATTTCGAGCTTCAGTGAATTTGTACATTACGAGCGATTCTAAATAAGAATAAAACAGCTTTGCGTTGCTCCTCAGCAGTGACGGATTTCGCTGACGAGATAAAACCTTCTTGAACTGATGCGACTCATTGACAACAATGACTGACAGTATAAATCGTAAAGCATGATAAAAATACATGACTCTTATTAAAATGCGTAAACTACACACTAGCATCCGTCTAGGTTGGTAACTTGACTATGGAATGTCATGTGGTATTTCGTAACTGTTCGCCAATCGCTCGTGAACAGATGAGTTTGGATGTATATGTACAATTGTGGAACGAACGAGATGGATGTCCAAAAAATGACAAACAACCCCAGCTTTTTTCAAAGTGGATTGTGTCTCACTAAGCAGCATCTCCATGCAAGGTCCATTTTGTGTGTTCCCCATCGTAGATCTACTACTGTTGAAAAGAAGCAGTCCTTTATTAGAAAATGCCAACTGACCGGTTACAGTCCATTGGACAGGAAAGCAAAACTCTCATATGCATCTTGTTTACAAAAACTGAATATCCATCTTCTCCTTGAACGGGTATTCCTGAACTTTCCTGGATATTCATTGACTGTTGCTCAAATGCAAGCAAATGTGACTCCATAAATTCCATAATAGATGTCACTTTTCAAGAAACGCAAAGCGGATTTACGAGAAAACATACTGCTCGCATGCCCCATCAGTAGTATCCACCGTTGCACTAGTGACATTTGGCTTGGTCTGCTTGAGAGCAAGCTGCATCCTAAACTCGTGCATTTGAAATCACAGCTCGTTTTACGTTTAAGCGCCTCGTCTATCAGGATTTATCTGTTTCCTAACCTATAATTTAGCACAAAAGAAAATCGATCAAAATTAGTAGTCTCTTCAGTAGCAAGTACCTTTCAGCCACCGAACAACTTCGTAGAACTTAACGCAATTTAACGCGCTTATCGGAGAAACCATCTTACATGATAGGGTGATTTTCGCCTGTAATGCAACCAACCAAACGTTTTGACACGGTTTGTTACACGTTAGTTACCTAAACAACTGATGTTTACGTAAGGTAACCCAGAAAAGACATTGCGATTGGAGACTACGGTCACTGTGATTCATAGCACAAGTTTTTTGCCAGACCAGTGCACACAGACCCATACTTTAATATAAAACCCAGGTTTTCAGGTTTCATCTATGGTAAGAAACTTTACCGGTAAAAGCAACCAGAGATTCGTAATATTCTGTCATTCTTTTTAGCTTTTTTTCATTTGTTTACGATACCGTGAAACCTAGAAAGGGTTTGAATGCACCGCGCTCATGGAAAAATCAGAATTCATCGTATTGCCATTCATTCGACTTGATTCATTACTAACAAAGCCGTATTCTGTACTTTTTTGAGGATTTTCCATTTTACACGACTATCTTGAGACCTACTGAGCTTCTTTTTCGCATTCTCTTTTTGTATATGTCTTCCAGGAAACTGGTATATTGAATACAACTATAACAACCTCGGTGAATCCTTTGTACACGATGTGATTGCTTACAACCGACTGGACTTACTGCGACTATTTCTTGCCTACAACTATGATTTTGATCGTCCCGCTAAAAGACTTCCCGCCTCCATTCTTGGAGCCGTTGTGCCGGAAGCTTCCAGCAGCAGCAACACCACCGTTGGAGCAGGGGGATCGTTTTCCAATACATGTGAAAAGTCACCGTTTCAACTGGCCCTGGAACGCGGACATCTTGATTTGGCGCGGATTCTTGCCGATGTTGGATGCTATCGCATCAAACTGCCGATAACATCCGGTCCTTTTACCCTTCCCTTATCCCTTTACACCACATCCGCTTTGCAGAGTAACAACTCCACAACTTCCTGGCCAAACGTTGCCAGTCTTAGTAACAGTAGTTCATTGGCCCGTCGCTACTCCGGTCTGCTTGAAGTCAAATCCCTGAAAAAATGGTGTCGACGCGCAATCAGACAACTTTTAGGATTTCGACTCACCGAAGCACTACCCCAGCTCCCACTACCCATTGCCCTGAAAGATTTCCTCTTACTACGAGATATCGATTGGTACGTCTGCTGGAGTACGGCAATGGCTCACCGTGGTTCCTCCAACACGTCCGAACTGGCAATCATTGTACCCCCACGATATACTACTCACTCACCTACTCAGAGGTCAAATTCGACACGTACCTAAAAACCTGTCGAAGACCGACAGTCTCGAGCCACAACTACCTCGAACCCTGTCAAAACCTGTGTGTACACGCATGCCAAATTGGGCAACTGCTTATCAGTTTAATATTATGTATACATACCATGTTTCACTATGTTTGAACCGAACGGTGATGGCTGTAGGAGTAGTGGATAGGATTCTGTCGAACACAGAAGACGCATTTCCGTTGTCTCAATCACATTTTAACGCGTCTTATCACCCCTACGTCGAAACGATTGTATGCTTTTGGTGTAATGATACAACAGGTTTGACATTTTCAGTGTAGGGATAACACAATTCAGAATATCAGTGGCTGCTACCCCCAAATGGGGGCGAGATGGCCCAAGTGGTTAGAGCCGAAAGGTCTGTGATTCGGACCCGACCTCTGCTTACCGACTTCCCCTGTCTAGGCTTGGGCAACCTGGCAGTAGCCTAGCCCTCGTGCAACCTTTGGATGGCATGGCAGTTGGGGACCGAATGACTGCTACAGCTGAACGATTCTACCCCCAAATTTTTAACTTAGTGTTGATTCTCCGCTCAATAGACGTAAACTTTTCCTTTGTGCAATTCAGGAAAACTCATTTGGAACAGATGCATTTAAGCAAAAAAGCTTCGTTATATCGATTCCCAGGATTTGATTCCTCTAAGAACTATGGTCAATAGATAGATACCCCACTGAAAAGCTCAAGAGGCTTCTTTGTACCGATTCCCAGGATTCGATTCCTCTAAGAACTCTGGCCAATAGATAGATACCCCACTAAACGACGTTTTCCTCCAAAGGATGAAAAGCTTTATGTCTATCCACTGAAAATGCTCGGAAGTGTTCTGGACTGTAACTCGCGAATTTGAGGAAACCCACCTCAGTGAATGACTGAAACAGAGCGTGCAGCCACGACAATGGCGTGTCCCTGGTACATTGCTGTGGACTGAGTAGAGTAGAGGCTTCCCCTACAACCAGACTTTTTGTGCCCTCAAACAAGAGGTCCGTAAACCCGGAATTTTCACACATGAGTTTGCTGTGACGCTGATTATGTTAGGGGCATAGTTACCGGGACGACCACGATTAATACTGGCACTGCCAGTTCATCGGAGCCAACTATTCGTTACAGGCGTGATGATGAATGTTTTAGGTTCGTCCGTTACATTTGGCTGTTTCAGGGCAGCACTTTCATCTTACTAGTTCAAGTTGGTTAAACATCCTTCAGGTTTGTGAGTTATACAAGCCGAGACCGACTAAACTTCTTGAGTATTTTGAGCCCCCATTTGGTTGTATTCCGTTTCTGGCATGGCTTTGTGCCAGTTTTCTGACTCTTTCAAATGACCCAAGATCCCCTATGGTCCCAGTCTTACTCAAGCCGTCGCCAGTCGCATGACATTTGGTTAGAGTATACCCTGCTGTATTCATAGTGAAACTCATACATAGCGCCAAAATCGCAGTACACATGTTCCTAAATTTTACAGTATTACGCAACCGACGTCGACGATCTCAGCTGTGAGACAACTACTTCAACCTGGTATATTAATTACTTATGTCTTTTTTATAAACGAAGCAAGAACTGATGTCTAGGGATCTCTTTAGTAGACGTTGTTCACCATGAGGATGTGAAATTCTGTTAGCCTTCGTTGTGTAACTATTTGCCGTCAAGTAAATCAACGAGGCGTGCAACCACCACCCTCTTGAACTGGAGACCCGATCGAGTCCTTCGCAATCAGCAGTCAATTGGATTTCTCCTGCATACCGTGCAGCACGCAGGGGGAGGAACTCGGGTTCGAGTAGAACATAGGATTGACGGAAACTCGGGGACTGCACCTACCTGATGAGCCCTAAGAAGGGGAGACCGTTCGTGGGCTGTCGGAGAGTTTTTTAGCAATCTTAAATTAGTGTGTTGCGTCTACGTATCGCGATATCTCGAACATCGTACTGACTGAAAAATTGGGTGGTTCAGGTAAGTTTCCCATCAAAACCAAATGTGAGGAAAATTTTCGAAGTTTTTGTGTCCATTGGAGCATTCTGAATGAAAGCTGGACCAATACGTTCAAGGTCATGTTTGAATTACGATCAGTACTTTGAGTCGGCTGCATTATTTCGAAGAAACTCACAATCTCGTAACGTTTCAAGGATATTGGTTGAATGAATAAGGTATTCCAAGTGAGAATGCAGTTTACACGGTACTAGATGAAACTTGATTACACACCCCGAGTTATTCTCATCTCAATTATTTGCCCATTGCGATATCAAAAAAGCTAATTCTCACAACCAAAGAGTGAACAGAAAGTGGACTGAAGACTGAAGGTCTAATGAGGAATATAGGCATGGGGAATCGTTCGGATGTAACATCCTTTTGTTGCCTAGCTGCCTTGCCGCCAAAAGGACGCACGAGGGCTGGGGTACTGCCAGGTTGCCCAAGCCAGTGCATGTTGATAGGTCAGATTCGAACCACGGACCTTCCGGTCAGTAGATTTGCGCTCTAACCACTTGAGCCACCACGCCCCCAAACTTGGGAAATATCTGCCGAAAAAATGTCGGGACACAGTCCACCAACGAGGTTGAAGTCGGTTTCCCTTTGGTAAGACATGGTGGAAATACAAAGCTTCAGGTAAAAAATAAACGTTTGCTTGATGGCGTCAGTTTCTTTTGCAGAAAGTTAGGACAAATTATGGTAACGAAGTCGGGTGTCGGAAGAAACGGACCAACTGGAAGAGGAAACATCAAACCTAGAATCTTCCAGTGAATTAGGTGTGCGATATACCACGGTTAAGGACATACGTGCGATTTCCTATTCAAAGCAATCTTCGTTTTCCTTTCCTTGTATTTAGTGGAGCTCTGCTTCAGGATCCTCTTTTTTCTACTTTGGTCAGCCTGAGACATCTCCGAATAAAGCCCTGCTTTTTACAAACTATCCGTAGTAGTAAAGAGACCATGCTTTGAAGAGATATTAGCGTAACAAAGTAAGGTTGTTGAAATTCTAGTTCTATCCACAGGAAAATAACGGTGACTGTGTGTTCATCAGAGGTGACTCAGAGGGAATTTTCTCAAACACTCATGAGTAACAGAGAACACGCGTGTGTGCAAGCATGTTTCCGTCTAAGGTGGTCACGAAAAGATGGGAAAAAGTCACGGAAAGTAGATATGTTGTGTAATTGTGATGAACATGGCTGATACATTATTCATTGCTCTATTCATTATTCTCTTGTTTTGATATTCCATATGCTACACATATACGCCAATTTGTATACATACGTGCTGCTTGGTACGCTGGCCTGAATTCTAGATTTCTAGTTCGTCTGGTTATGCCGGTGAAAGCAAGAAGGCCTTCGCTGCGGAGGTATTTATTCGGAAATACTAACTGACCGGTTACAGACCATTGAACAGAGAAGCAAAACTCTAATCTGCATCTTAGTTACAAAAACTGGACACAGATCTTCTCCCGAACGAGTCTTCCTAGAGATTCGTTGCCTCCACTCATTCGTCGGTCAAATCCAAGCAAATGTTACAAAGTGGCTCCACGAATTCCGCAACAGAATTCCCTTTTTCAATCGACGCAAAGCGAAATTCCACGAACAACACATACTACTCGCGTGCC